CTTTGACTCTCTAAGTGAAGTGTCAGGTCAAGGCCAAACGTACTGGATATAAAACAAATTGTCAGTTAACTTCGATTATTCATATTTATTAGAGGAGACTGGTTATGAAAGGCAATAAACATCAAATAAAAACACCACAGTGCTGTGTTGGAAGCTGCCTGAAGGTGCAGAATCCTTTATTTAGTTGGCAAATTGCGACGGAATAAACTAATAGGACGTTTTTATTGGTCAGTAAGATCAAAATGCTGGGATTGCTGTTGATCGTTGTGCACCGTCAGGTCCACAAAAACATATAACAAAGGAGTCTGGCGGGTTTCATAACCATTCCAATCTATTAGCTATGGTCGACCTTCAGAATAAGCGTCGAACAAAGTTCGAAAAAAATATGGCGCAAAAAAGTTTACAGTCGCATGGGTCGCTCACTGCGGTAATCCGTTTGCAGGACTTGCCAGTTAAATGTTTTTGCTATCCGTTTTTCCGTACCTTAAATTGACGCTTTAAATACGTCACTGATTCGCTCAGCTTGAGTGCTGCATACTCTAAAACAACGGCTACACTTGAAGAATACACTCTCTTGTAAACCTGTATTTAATTTTTCCCTGGCTGCAATTCATTCCATAGAGCAAGTGGTTGCTCTCAGTATTGAAAGGACCTTTGGCCACTTCTGAGCACTGCGGAAGAGTGGTATGTTTAAACAATTTAGAGTTTCTGGTGTCCTTGTTGAGGCCGTTGATCTTCTTACCTCGTGTTCACTTAGCCGGCGAGGCCTGAGCACGAGGACCGGGAGCTCTGGGGACACAGGATTTTAAGTCCTAGATTTTAGGACTTCCGGTCATTTCTGATTCAAAGTAAGTTGGAGGATTCTCTTTTAAAAGCTTTGAATCACCTTAATTCACATGCAGTCATTGACACTTCGGCAAGAGCAACTGATCGCTATTAGGAACGTTGTAGAAATCAGAAATGACCGGAGGTCCTAAAATCTAGGACTTAAAATCCTGTGTCCCCAGAGCTTCCTAATCCTCGTGCTTAGGCCTCGCCGGCTAAGAAAATAGGAGGCTCTTGGAGCTAGAATAGGTACACTGGAGGACACCAGGGGCAGCCAACGACAGCTTTTGGTAAAATATCTGTTCGGAGAAGCAAATATTGCCTACAATTTTCTGAAGAAATTTTTAGCCGTCCTCACGCAATATGACCGTTCCATTCATGTACAATTTTCGAAGCTCAATTCTAATAAATTTTCTACGATTTTCTGAAGTTTTATTTCTCATTTTTTACTCCCCACTTTTTGGACATCTGAAGGAAGCCTAAAATTTTTCTTATTGAAAAATGTGATTAACAGAGGGATCAGAAAAATTTTCACTTTCGTAAAACGTGTAAAACTAAACAAAGAACTAAACACTAGACATATTTGATGAGGAATGCGGCCGTAACACCCCAGTTACAACTTTCCCTCATTATCATCATTGTTTGCTGGCGCTTGTGGAAGCCTCAAACCGTGACTTCCAGCGAATTGAACGTACAGTCGACTCCCGATAACTCGAACCCTTACCAACTTGAACCGCGCGCTAACTCGAACAAAAAAATCGATTTCCCCTGGATTTCCTTCATACATCTACAGACCATAATTGTACCCTCAGTAACTCATCTTATTTCCCTATTTCCGGTAGTTTGCTCCAAACGCCCGATTCCTACCTCTCGCTAACTCATTTTTTTTCGAGATAGACTTCCCTAAAAGGCTCCAGTTATCGGGAGTTGACGAGTTCTAATACCTTAAGTTTATCAACGGCATTGACGGCTCGTCAATTCAGACTTTTCTGAAGGAGCTGATAAGCAACTCAAACTAATGTCTAAAATTCAGGCTAAAAACTTGGGTCCTTGAAAAAAGTCTGAGAACTTCTTAGTGTTTGTTCGACAATAGGATGGACGGTAGGCTTGGTAAGTTCTTTATTGTGAGAATGGAATTGATTTCTTTGGGTGAAATTGTTGTAACACCTTAATTAGACAAGAGTGAATTTTTTAATAATCCTATAGAGGTTCTTATCGTACTTCTTTTCAATGAGATTAATCTTCAATCATATGAGGCCTGGAACGACCCTTAATAAATGAGTCAAAATTTGTGTGGTCTGCACGTTCGTATTCATTCTTTTATAACCTGTCCCAAGTTTGATCTATTTTCTGTTATCTTTTTTTTAGCACACGGTGTCCATGCGAAGAAATCTGAACAACTGCTTAGAAAATGGTTTTCATATGGACTAGAAAACTCGTTCTCTCCTACCTTTTTATTGCCCTATCGGCTCTGCTGATTGTCATTACACATGTGATCCAGACAAATCCATTCCACTTGTACAACCAAAACGCCGGCACAAGACCCGTGACCAGCGAAGAGATAACAACAAGACCCGTGACCAGAGAAGAGATGATAACAAAAGAGGCCCCAGACACCTCAATAAGTCTGTTTGTGAGAATGTCTGGCAAACGACCAGATCACAGGGAACGTTATTTGTGTAACGTTTTTGAGAACTGCGGTTCTATTCTGGCCTCCTTTGCTTGGAAATTTAGTCCTAGCACTTGATGAGGAATCACAAGAGGATCATGAATTTGCCGAAAGATTAAAAACCCAAGCTCAAAAATAATTTCCTGATCGTAAAATAGAATTCGCTTATGAGCCTCTTCCAAAAAAAACAAGATACGCTGGCGTTTAAAGGCTCGCCCAAACCAGCCCGTTACAACAGACAGCTTTGGAGCAGTTTCTTCATCGACTTGCTTTCAAATGACACCGTCATTGCGTGAATGGATAGTGACTCAGCCTTTTTTAACCCAGTGACAAAACTCACAATTTTTAATGGGACAAAGGTACGAGTCTTAGGCACAGGCTGTACATTACAAGACCCCGGTAGGGGCTGGGTACATACCTGGGCACGTACTACTCAACTGGCACTAGGAGTACCATTTGTCGTGGATTTTATGACTTATTAAGTATTTATGCCTTCCTTCCCTCTCAAACATTTCAATTAATGAGATGCATTGCCTGAGCTCGTTTACTGGGCTCATTATGAAAGAGATATACCATATGGAGTAAAATGGCTAAGGGCAAAAGCCCAAAGCCGCCTTTATTTCAATATCAACAACACAACAAAAGCTTTAGATGGGTCAGGATAACCTGAAAGTTTGTGCGAATAGCTTAGAGCCGAAACATAAGTATTGACTGTTGAAGCAGCATACTTGAGGTCATATAGATAAGCAATAAATAAACAAAACATTGGTATAGATGTGGGAAATTGCAAAGGTAACCCTGGAAAGGTCATACGAGTAAAACGGTGAAACAAGTTCCATGCCCGCTGGTAAGTTGGAAGGGAGGATGATTGCAAACTAGACTGCATAAGTGTTGCAACTATGGCTGCCAACTCTGGGGCTGCAGATGCAGGGGGATCTCCGTTGGAAGCTTGTCCATGTGAGCAGGAGCCAATTGTTTGAAGGACTGAACCTGTAACCGAGATAAAGAATCGGCTAAGCGGTTCTTGACACCAGCAATATGCTTAACCTTAAAATCAATATTGTATTCTAAACAGATTAGGACAAGCTTCCGAATGAAAAACATCAAGGATTTGTCCTTACTTGACTGCTTATTGGTCACGTGGACTAGAGATTCATTGTCAGTAAAGAAAAGAATACAGCGATTACGCATCACATGACCCCACACAGGAAGAAATAATAGAATTAATTTGTTTTAAAGCTTACCTAAGGATACACAAAAGAAGTATTTAAACTATCTTTAATTTATTTACTAAAGACATGAAATACACTTTTCATAGACTTTAAGGTGAAAATTAAAGGCTAACTTATGAACCATTTCATAACCGCTTTAAGTTAAGAAGAAAGGTAACTGAAAGGTTCATTTCCTAAACTTTAGGAACTGCTCCTAAAGCGTTCTGAGTAACATTTAATTAATCGTTTGTGTCAACTTTAGTATAGCTTTAATTTTTCAAAAATGCTTGCTGGTATATCTTTGCTTTGCCCTTAATTCTACTTTAATGTAGTATTAAAGACTCATGTCATCTTTAATTTGTCTTTAATTCTATTTTAATGTTTTATAAAAGCCCCAAGTCATCTTTAATTTGTCTTTAATTCTATTTTAATGTTTTATAAAAGCCCCAAGTCATCTTTAATTTGTCTTTAATTCTATTTTAATGTTTTATAAAAGCCCCAAGTCATCTTTAATTTGTCTTTAATTCTATTTTAATGTTTTATAAAGGCACCAGGTCATCTTTAATTTACCTTTAATTCCATTTTAATGTTTCATAATACCCCGCGTTTGTCATCTTTAATGTGCCTTCAATTCGATCTATTTTAATGTTCATTAAAAGCCCCAAAGAAGAGAATAAGATAAAGGGATTAAAACTGGGGTATCTCAGCTTTTCGGAGAAAAATATCATAAGTTGAACACTGGAATCCATGACTGCATGGTTCCTTTTAAAGAAATAAATAAATACAGTGAAACAAACAAAATCTACTTTAAAATCAGTTTATTTTCAATAATGTCTAATTCTTATTTTGAAATTATTCACTGCCTACTCTTTAATGGGAAAACCATTTTGTGGTGAAAAAAAAAAAAAATAGACCAAGGACCACAAATTCAAAAAGTTAAAAGTACATCTTTATCAAATAGGTTTGATGATCGTTAATTTATAAAATAAATTCACAACACTGTTCATTGTCAACTTATGAAGATAATCCTGCAATCATACAGATGAAGTGGTTGAAGTATCAAGATCTGATGCTTGAGCATTAAGGGCCCATTCACGAATTTCAGGAGGGTCACGTTCTGACGGCTCCGTACAGTTCTAGGCACAATCCTGTCACGTGCCCTCTTAGACGGCCTCTTGTTATACTTTTTATCAAGCTGCTTCTTGATTTTTCGCAGAGCTGTGCTCTCCCAAGGGAGCTTTTTGATCTTATTACTGGTTAGTGCCTCCTTGCCATCTTTGTCAGCTTCATAACAGCTATCCTCGCTGCTCATTGTCTCCATCAGGAGGACCTTTTCTTCCATTCTCATGGTTGTCGCCCCATTTCACCATTGCTAGGGTAGCTGTCCTCCTTGTTAACTTCTAAAAGAAAGAAACAGAGTAAGAGTAGGTGGTGGGCCAGAACTCATTACAATACATGTCCAATCCAACTGATTCCACCATTGGATATGTAACAAAAGAGTATAATTAAATGAGACTTAAACAATATCCAGACTAATCTCTCTTATTATTCTGTACATCACAAAAATTAAATCTTATAATAAATTGTTGTTTTTTGAATGAAAAGATATGGTCAGTAGATATGTTATTTACTGCCTTTTCAGAGATAACAAGCCACTTAAACCAACTAAGCATCCAAGGTTTACATCAGGTTACTCTAAGAAATCATGCAACATGCGTGTCCTCCTTTTATGATCTTCATATTTTTCAGAATTTTTCAGTCTTCTAGTCTCATTTAATGACTGAAAATATCTTTGTAGAGCAGCTGTTGTAATGCTAAAGTAAGGTGTCTAGCATTAGCACAGGCTTACATCAGTACAGGGGACTGTATTCTAGGAAATGATGTATTGTAGGGGAACCAATTACTCTAACTTATAAAATTCAGGGTGCCCAGCAAATAAAACAATTAAGATTTTCTTCTTTGCTTAAGGACAAAGGTAATTCATCACTTATAAACACTGCGGCCAACCTGTCAATGTTTTACAAATGATATGAAGCTACCACTGGATGGTTAAAATCTTAATTGATGTTATATTTATATTATATCACGTGATCTGTTCCAAAATTAAAATAAACAGGAGATGGCCTAAATTTGTCCGACTTTAATGATGTGTGACTATTATACATATGAATACAGGTAAATTTACATTAAGCAGTCCCACTTTCAGGCTGTTTAAATGGTCACTTCTTAAAACAATTAGCATACCGCTGCACTAAATGAAATTGTGCATTCCTTGTAATGAACTGTTTTATTGTTGACTTTTTTTCTCTCTTCATCTGGAGGAATGGAAAACTCCTTGAGGTAGTTAAGGATTAATCCCTCGCTACTCTCACTCACTACTGTATCTTTGTAGTGTTTTTGTTAACGTCCCTTAAAGCGTTTTGAACCTGTATTAAATGGGTCAAACTAACCCGTCATTTTCCCCCTTCCCAAAGGGTGACCACAGCAATTATAAAGGTTGGACCGTGAATTGCCTTATGTGAATGACAGTGTACCTTCCATCACGGCCCTTGTCTATGGACACCTTTCGTCTCCTCCATGTTGGTGTAACACTTGGGCCATTACTCTTTGGAAGATAGTAGCGTTGTTGTCAGAGCTTACTCTAAAAAGATATATCACCAAAGCAAAGTCACTTTCTTGATCTTTGATACATATTGTCTCTTTGGCAGGTATCAGGTACATATTATTGGCATCAATGTTCAATGACACTGGCATTTTGAACTTCTGAAGGAAATTCTTTTTAACCCTTTAACCCCTAGCAGCGACCAGCATCAAATTTCTCCTTACAGTATCACAGACAAATCAAACAGAATAAACTAAAATGATCACCAATGAACAGAGAACAGTGTAAAGAATATGCAAGTTGATTTTTGGGGTTAAAGGGTTAATCCACAAAAAAGGCAGGTGAAAAACTAGAGCTAAATTGGGTTGGAAGGCATAATACAATGGGTACTATTGTCATTCATGAGGTGGAGGTGTTCACTGTTGACCCTTCCAAGTTCTGTAGTGGCTTCCAAAGAAACATCCTGAGGTACTAATAAATCCTCTTGTCATTACTATTTCAGTTGGCTTTTATTTTATACTACGTGTAATTGACCTGTTCCAAATCTGCGTAGATTCCCTCCAGGTGTGGCCTACCATTGATGTATGTGCAGTAATTTACTTTCTCTTCAAATTAGAACTTACTTGGTTTTTTAAGTGAAGCTAAGACCTGTTTGGTAGTTAAATTAAAATTTGATAGATGTTTATCATACTTACTCTTCATCAAGGTAGAAGCCTTGAAAGTCTTCCTTTTTAGAAAGGACCTTGTATATTTGCCTTAGTGTTCTCTATAAATGAAAGAAATCACATCCCTTTCTCAGTTTGACAATAATATGCTGGTCAAAAGACATCCCAGGTTATGACTCTCGGGGACAGGAGCCAGAATTTAGCATTAAAAATTCAGATGTCTGCTTTGGTTTCGTTTTGATGTCATTTATGTCTCACTCAAAAAATAGGTGGCTTGAAAAAACTAACTCCTGCAATGCAAAAAAAACAAAATTGACGTTCCACGCTTATTGTCAGTTATTGTCACCACCTCATATGCCCATGTAATCGTACAGTAATTTATTACATGCATACATTTTTTGTGGCGGCCGAGGTAGAAAATACAAATGAAATCACAGGCGGCTCAAACTCACGTTGCGAGGGAAGGGTGTAATGTAATTTACATAACATATGTGACGCGCCGGTGTCGCGTTACAGACGACCGTTGAAAATATAAGAGACTTTGTATGGGAAATATATTACTGAGATTTGCGAAGGCCAAATAACGCTAAACCTTACTTTTTCTTAAATGAAATGAATAAAAAAGTCTTACCTGCAATCTATTCCGCTGCGGTTTGGTGTCTGTTTGTCGTTTTCCTATTTTTTTGGGTTTATTACGTAACCACTGTTACTCCTTTCATAGAACGAAGTGAAGGCTGGTCACTTCCATCTGTAGGGGTCCTGGACCAGTCGCAAAAAAAATGCCGTTTTTTTCGCCGAAATTCAAATCCGCTGCAAATTTTTCAGCTCCAGCCCAAGAAGGAAACCTCTTCTTCCTCTCTGGGAGATCGGCTCGAAAAAAAATCCATAATTTCCCCATCAAATCGAGCCATTTGTGCCGGACTTCGAGGCACGTCTGGCTTTCGTGCAGTGCCTGTGACCACTGTCGCGCTTACCAAGGTTTCCAATTTCAAATGCAAATTAGTTGCTAGGGTGACAATTAGCACTTACGCGACGGGTGCAAGGGCAGAAATGACCCGTTAACTAGGCTCCTCGCCCCACCACGCCACCCTAGCAACTAATTTGCATTTGTATAATTTTCATGTAATTTTTTTATAGCAAATCGTCTTTGCGTCATTCAAATGCACGTTTCTTTTGATACTTACCCTGCATGCCACAGGCATGTATGGCAGGTATGTATGAGCGGCAGCCCTGCGTCTGGAGCGATGTCTTTCGCTTTCGCCAGGAGCTTCTCGCTCATTTATCCTTTGCTCAATCCTTTGCAGGACTTGTGTTTGATTTCTTCTAGCTGCCTCGTGTTCTCGCCGCAGCTTCTCATTTTCTGCGGCGAGTTTTCGGTTACTTTGGATTAGTCCCTCTAGTAGCATAACACAATCTTCAGCCGATCGACCTTCCATAGCGAACCGATTTCTAGCTGGACAATAACAATAAAAAATTCCGAAGATCTACAAGCTTTCTCGCTGTACAATAACAATTATAAATTCCCAGAAAAAAAAAGTATTGATGCAAGTCGTAAGCGCTAACGATCTAGCCTTTTAAAACCGACAAACGAACTCTCAACAGTTGAAGACGAAGGAGTTTAGAGGATTCGCCCGCTATTTTTCGAATATTTTTATATTTGGTCCCCTGCTGCGCCAGCGCCACGCTCTGATCTTTTGTCGCTGACCAGTAACACAATGGCTCAAACTGGCGTCACTGGCGGGAGATCGGCGGGAAAATCACAGTTAAACGTCGTTGAAAGTGTGTGGGCTTGTAATTTTGGAATCAAAAGGTAACTTTTACGTAGTTCTATTTATCGTTAATGTATAAATAGCGATGCATGTTTAATACTTCCAGAAAAAAAACCTACAGAGCGATTTATTTAAGCTAATTTAAGCTGACATCGATTTTCTCTCAGTATAAGCTCTACCATCAATAAGGTTATTCATATGCATCTGGTAAGCAGAAAACGCTCAAGCGTACACAAAATTTACCTAGAAAAGCGAGTTGCGTTTCCCTTGTACTCACTCATCACTTTCTCATATAAGGGGTATCTTCTTGGAGAGCCTATACTCGAAAAACAGTAATTATTTCACCGTCACCAAAACAAAGGCAGGTTGCCAGAGGCCACCAGGCAGGACCAGGTGCTGATCATGTGAGATTTTTACTTATGGTGCAGAATACCAGTGACGGCTTTTAGTCAGATCTTTGAGTTTCTGCACCCTTTCCAGTCAACACATATTAAGCAGCAGATTTTGTGTTACTTGAATAACATGGTGCTTTCAAATATGACAGTGGCCATAGCTTTCTAGAGATTCAACAATTATGATGTGTGATTTTATTGCTTATGGTGCAGAATGCGAGTGACGGCTTTTTGTCAGATCTTTGAGTTTCTGCACCCTTTCCAGTGAACACATATTAAGCAGCAGATTTTGTGTTCCTTGAATAACATGGTGCTTTCAATGACAGTGGCCATAGCTTTCTAGAAATTTAAAAATTTTGATGTGAGCTTTTATTGTTTATGGTGCAGAATGCGAGTGACAGCTTTTTGTCAGATCTTTGAGTTTCTGCACCCTTTTCAGTGAACACATATTAAGCAGCAGATTTTGTGGTCCTTGAATGATATGGTCCTTTCAATGACTGTGATGTGAGATTTTATTGCTTATGGTGCAGGATGTGAGTGACGGCTTTTAGTCAGATCTTTGAGTTTCTGCACCCTTTCCAGTGAACACATATTAAGCAGCAGATTTTGCGTTACTTGAATAGCATGGTGCTTTCAATGACAGTGGCCATAGCTTACTAGAGATTCAACAATTATGATGTGTGATTTTATTGCTTATGGTGCAGAATGCGAGTGACAGCTTTTTGTCAGATCTTTGAGTTTCTGCACCCTTTTCAGTGAACACATATTAAGCAGCAGATTTTGTGTTACTTGAATAACATGGTGCTTTCAATGACAGTGGCCATAGCTTTCCAGAGATTCAACAATTCTGATGTGAGATTTTATTGCTTATGGTGCAGAATGCGAGTGACAGCTTTTCCTCAGATCTTTGAGTTTCTGCACCTTTTCCAGTCAACACATATTAAGCAGCAAATTTTGTATCACTTGAATGACTAATTGCACACAAATGGTGCTTTCAATGACAGTAGCCATAGCTTTCTAGAGTTTTGACAATTATGATGTGAGGTTTTATTTTTCCTTTGACACAGGGTTATGCAGCAGCCGATATCAGGCGAAATGACTTTTTTCAGTTTTCTTTCAGGAATTCACAGTTACTGCTTTGGTACTGAGATGAACTTTCAGCGACATTGTGTGACAAAAAGAGAATAAAAAAAGCAATTCATGATAACACCAGTTAAACTTTTTGTTAGTAGTATTATTCATTAGTTTCAAACGATGCTAATAATTATATGTATGTAAAAGAAGAAATCATCTTGCCACTTTTTACCCAGCTATACTGTAAAGCGTCAAATGAAAGGCCTGGGTGTGTTCTGGATTTTTCTTATGAGCTTCGCAACAATTGTTACTACAGTTGAACATTCCTGTTGATGGGAGCCATCACAACTTGTTTTTGTCCCTCTACATCCACTTCGAGCGAGCGAGTGCACGTGGTTTGTCTTGACCCAAAAGGTCAACTTAATGTCACTTGAAATTATTAAGTTTCAAGAATCACAAAGATGTTTTGTTAAGCTTTAATTAAGTAATTAAAGACTCTGAAATACAAGCGTTCTTTCTGTGTTACTTTTACGAATGTTTAAGTTCAAATTAAAGATGAGTAAAGATCTAAGATCATTTAAATTTGCTTTAATTTGAAATTAACGGTGCTACATTTTAATAGCTAATTTTGGAATAAATTAAAGACAATTAAAACGAGACCCAAAGATTATTAGTCTTTAATGTAACCAAAAGGTCAATTAAAGGTAAACTAAAGGGACAGAAAACCTTTCGGAAATTTAATGTCACAATTAAAGGTAATTAAAGATGGAACAGAACTTTTGTGAGCTTTAATTTTTCACTAAAGACACCAAAATGAAAGCGTTCTTCCTGTGCCACAAGTACAGGCTTAATACGATAGGGTAAAATTCTAATATGGCAATGTTAGAATAGGACCAAGTTGCGGGCCATTTCCCATAACACCACCTACTACCAAAAATAGCACCGAATCCTAATGCACCCGAGCCATCAGTATACAAGTCAAGTTTAGAAGAAGAGTACCAAGTTTCTTCCAGGAAAAAAGAGCGGCCGTTGAAATTAGATAAAAATGATAGCCAAACTTTTAAATCTTCTTTTACATCTTTTGAAAGTCGAATAAGATGGTGTGGGGATTGAATACCCACTGTTAGATCAATCAATCTACGCAAAAAGGCTCTGCCTGGTACTATAACAGAACAAGCAAAATTTAATAGGCCGGTTAAGGATTGCACCTCCCCCAAGGTGGCCTTCTTCCGACGTAAAAATTCCGACAGCAGAGCGGAACATTTATTAAGCTTATCAGGAGGCAAACGAGCCTCCATTAGCACAGAATCTAATTCAATTCCAGCAAAAGATAATGTTGTTAAAGGGCCAAAAGTTTTTTCCGTTGCTATAGGGATGCCAACATAAGAGCACAGATCAATAAACAAATCCAGTTGAGCTTGACAGAGCTGCCTGTCTGGAGCAACAATCAGGAAATCATCCAACAGATGGATAATATGGTCTATTTTCAATTTGTGCCGGGCAACCCATTCAACTGCGGTGCTAAAAATTTCAAATGTTCTACAAGAACTTGCACAACCCATAGGCATGCAGCGATCAAAATAAAAAGAACCCTGTCAGTGCATACCTAAAAGGCCATAGTCATCTGACTGTATTGGGATTATCCGAAATGCATTTTGGATATCAGTTTTTGCTAAGTAACTGCCCTGACCAGCCAGTTTGATGCATCTTATGGCATCTCCAATAGTCGCATAACAAACAGTACTGTTTTCATGAGAAATCCCGTCATTTACAGAAGCCCCCTTAGGGAAAGACAAATGATGAATAAGCCGAAACTCTCCAGGTGATTTTTTGGGGACCACGCCAAGTGGGGAAACAACAAAGGGGGATATTGGGGGAGAATCGAAGGGACCTGCTAAACGGCCGGCTGCAAGCTCTTTAGCAATTTTTGCATCAACAACGGTTGGATTCTGTACAGCTGATAAAAGATTTTTGGCGTGCGAGGACTCCCGGATCCCTTGAAAATGGAGGGGAAAACCATGTGTAAACCCATCAGAAAGAAACATCACAGTTGAATGGTTATACCCGGACAAGAGATACAAAAGCCTACTAAACTTTACTGGGGTTGGGAGGTGAGGATTTGGCTCCTGAGGATTTGGCATTGGTAGTTGTTCTTGGTGATTGCTTTGATTGGGAACGAAAAGTACAAATATTCATTCGATGAGCACCCTCACACTTAGGGCAGGAATGCTTAAAGGAACATCCAGCACACTGAGCCCCCTTGTGAAATTTAAAGCAGTAACCTTTAGGGACAATGCTGGATTCCGAAAGGCGTGACCGAAAGGAGTTCCCAGGAAGAGATTGTTTCTTACTAACGGGTTGCTGTGATCGCATCCACAATTCCCAATGGATGACTCCCCAAGGAAAAGCTGATGGCTGATTTTGCCGTAAATAACGAAAATTGTCATCGTAATAATGCCACTCGTGTCCCCGCGCAACCAAATCCTGCACAATCTCCCCATACTTCATGAGGGCGGGGGCCTCTGAAGGAAATTGGCTAGTATATACCCCGACAAATACCATAAAGTTACTCGTCCATGACGAGATTTGTCAAAAGCTTTCTGGTCTTAGTGACCGGTTCTAAGGCTAGTGACGGAGGCTGAGTGCCACCTTCATTATGTAAAGCAACTTGATATTTGCTTTCTAAAGTAGGGTTGGTGGCCAAAGCCCCAAAGTCAATAAACTCATTTTTCAGAATCTTCGCTTGCAGCTTAGCAGATACACGAGCATCAATGGGTAGACTTGGTGAAGTAAACAGGGTGCTAGGCAATGGAGGGGTTATGGTTGGTAAATCACCTGACAGCCTCTCCTGAAATTGGCTAACAGCTCCGTGTATCACTGATTGACCAGGACTATCTGCAGGAATTCCAACCGCAGGCACCTCTGATATCTGGTCAGCTCCAGCTGCATCGCCAGTAACCGGCACGTCAGAAACCTGGTCAGGAATCTGGTGATCATTAGCATTCTGGTCTCCACCTGTTGATGAGAGCCGTCTTGTAACCTCATCAGACACCCTACTGACGATCTGCTCCACAAGAAATTGAGGGAAGACCTCGGCCAAGACCTTTTGAGGCTGCGTCTGCTGAACAAATCCTGCTGAGCCTTGACTAGATTTGACCCGGCGGGAACGCTTTCTGGCTGGGGCAGCAACAGTGGAGGCAGAGTTGGCTCTCTTAGGAGGCATTATCTGCAAACAAATGGAGAAGAAAAAGGGGAGGAATCATGGAAATAGACAGCTTATAAAGACCAATTTAGAAGAACATTTAGAAGACATGAACACCTTAAAATAAAACAAACAGGCCGGGTCATGCCATGTCAGACAAGAAGTCGACGCACCAGCAAGCCCACAAAAAATGGCCAAAGTAAAATAAAACACACAAAGGCTCCTCAAACACAAGGAATTAACAGTAAATTCCTCAACAAGTAAAACTGAGCTAAAAAGCTCAAACATGACGAGGGAAGCACAAGGTAAAACCTTATATATGCGAACCCATCGTAACAAACTGGGACGAAATGTCCACACAATAACACGGGGAGCCAAAAACCGGAGAGAAACCCCGAATAAATAAAACGAAAAAGGTGTCCATTACAAATCTAAAAATTAAAGAAAGCAAAGCACAAAATGAAGGAAATAAGCGGTATTATCGCATGCGAAAACATGAAAAGGTGTCAAAATTCAAATAAGCAGTATATTCAAATGTAAAAACGCAAAAACGTGACAAATATTCAAAGCATGCGAATTGCTCTTAAGATAGCGCCTCGATAGCTACGATATAACTGGTACTGACCAACAGAATTTAAATGAACGCCATCATTTAAATAAAAATCCTTACCGGGGGACGAAAAAGGGGTGTGCACCAAGCAAAAAACATTGGGAAGGTCTCCTAAAACGGCGTTCGTGTACTGATTCAAAGCGGTAGCGCTCGTGAGAAATGAAGTCTGGGACGCGGCACATGAGAAACACGTGGAATAACATGACAAACGCCGACCACGCGGACAGCGAGATTATCCACCAAGAAACGAACAAAATCATCTATTTCTGAACCCACCACTTCAGGACCGACACGAGTTAAATCGTTTGTCCCTATCTCCACAATTATGATATCCGGAGACAACTGTTTGACCACGTGCAGATCAAACATGCGAAGTTTAGGCACTGTCCGACCTCCCACACCATGCATAAAAACCACAGCAGTACCCTTAAGGTTAAAATTTAGGTCTGCCCGCTGCTCAAAACCTGTTTCCAAGTCATGACACAGCCTACGAACGAAGGAATGGCCTAAGATAAGTACAACGGGTGACGAACGCGCCATATTTTAGCTGACTTAAATCAGTTCAGCAGTTAAGAAAACGTGTAGATGCAGTCGCTGCCAAAAAAAGGAGACTTGACTACAGGGTAAGTTATTCTGTATATTGCCGTTTCAGACTATGAGAAAATTTAAGTATTTTTTGGCTAATTTAACTCAACTTTTCATAGAAAATTTATTAGTACAATATGTGAGTAGTATAAAAGGGACCGGTTAGGCCTCTTTTTTGGGGGGGAATCTCATTAAGGTGGGGGGATAAATTAACGTCGCTGACGTCGTGAGCCTTGCAGTTTGTACTCAGGCTTTTGAGTTATTTTTAAGCTTATATTTATAAACTAGTTCCTCACAATTTTACTGGTTCAAATTCCTGAAATCTATTTAATTCAACATTTAGAAGATTATTTTATGCTTACTTTAGTGTATCTCTCTGGTATATATAGATTTCTGCTATTCAAGAATGCATAAACAAAGTTGAGGAGGGGAAGAAGGCGCTGGTAAAGCAGATTTTGTGACAAAGGGTAGCATTTCACATTGCTCCGGGTAATTGTGGACGGCGTCATGGATAGAGGAGAGTGACTTTCAACCGTTTCAACCATACTAAAAATAACACTTTTTTTTCTCTTTTCTGTACCACTTAAAGTATTTAATATTCCGGCAGAGTACTTGGCTTACAAGGCTTTTCTTGGGTCACAATAAACTTTAAGGTAGTTACTGATGTACAGGAGAATTAACTTAGTAAACAGGTAAACATCGTCCTCCAATTGGTCTTTCACCTTTGTCTAACCAATTATACCTTATTTTGATTTCAGTATTGTTTCAAAGGAAGGACAGTTTACGCTCTTCAAATCATCTATCTGCATTGTGGTGGCAGTAGCAATAAGCCCATAGGCGTCTGGTATCACTATAGTTATGGCACGATAGCAATGTACAAAAGGGATTGAGAATCCGTCGGAGGATTATCAGAAAAATTCCGCAACAAAGACAGGTGGAATGGTGAGGACTGGGATATAATTGACGGCCCAGTTAAGGGAGGACTGGAAATAGAACGCAAGCGTGCTCCATGGATTTCTCACTAGCAACACACCAAAGCAGAAATGTCGCAAAGAAATTAGATGACTACTTTACTTTTTGTTTTTGTTTTGATGTTATTGTACCGGCTACTGTATTTTTCTTTATTGTCTGTTGAATATACTAAATTAATTTCATTTAAGTAATATTTATTTCCAAAAAAAAAAACTACAAAGGCGTTAGAAATACTGCTGATACTCTTGTCTAGATAAGAAAAAGAAATTGCCTCTGTCAACACTGAATTGAACGAACTTTCCAACTTGGTGACATTGATCAGCAACCGTAATTTCAAAGCACTTACTACTCCCCATTTACAGACGCTAGTTAGTAACTAAGGCGATTTTTACGTATACAGAATCTCTGCAATTATTAAGTGCTAAACTCGTGTTGATTATACCCATTTTCTCCTATATGGAGTTGCTTAACTTTTTTTTTGTTTAGGTATATCAAAATTTCCTTTCTTACTTCAACCTGACTCTGTACCGACTTTTCAGCCTTAATTCGTTTTTGTCAGTGACGTTTCCAAAGCTAAACGCATACTAAGGCCCCGTCTACACGTATCCGGTGAATCAGGCAGACGAGTCCGCGTCTTTTTGAATCCGCTCCCTAGAGAGGAAATTTTTGAATACGCTATAAATCTGGATTTGTGTGGATGCTATTAAAAAAACTAATACCAATATTTTATGCGTAGTTTATAATTATCGCAACAGCAACTACTAAATGGTATAGCTTTTTGAATGTCTGAGGGCAGTGGCTGCATAATTGTAAGTGTTGATGATGATTATATTAAGATTATTATATTAATACTGCTGTTTATCACGTTCTAACGGGTAGGTCATATATCCAATTGCCAGCTGAGTTACAACATCATATATAATAAGGGTTAAATTAACCTCATTAATAATGACAGTGAATGTTTCAGATTGTGTCAAATTCGCTATTTAGATCCAAAAGATAATAACCCCCCCAAAAAGAAAAATATCAGACAAGTGAATGGTTGATCAATTAAATTACAATGGTGTTGAGTTTCCAGTCATCAGTGTTAAAGATTATTCTAAGATTGAGGCCCAAAACACTATAAACATTAATGTTTTTGGGTATGAAAATTTAAGAATTTTACCCAATTTATGTATCCAAACAAAATAATGAGGATATGTTAAATTTGCTTTTGATAATTGAAGATGAGAAAACACATTATGTGCTAATTAAGGACTTTAGTAGATTGGTCTTTAATACAAGCAAGCATGAGCATAGAAAGCATTCATGCATGCACTGCCTGCAATGTTTTAGCAGTGAAGATGTATTAACAAGACGTAAGACAAATTGCATAGTTATAAATGGTGAACAAGCTATCAAATTGCCACAAAAAGGTAAAAACACATTACAGTTTCAAAATCATCATAGACAAATGTAAGTACCATTTGTTATTTACGCCGATTTTGAGGCTATCACAGAAAAAGTACAAGGCTGCACACCAGATAATATAAAATCATATACTAATAAATATCAACAACATACTGGGTGCAGTTATGGCTGCAAAGTGGTTTGTTGCTATGATGACAAATACACCAAGCCTGTTAAAATTTACAGGGGAGATGAACCGGTGAAAAAATTTATGCAGGAGATGTTATTGAAGGTAGAATATTGCCAGAAAATTGCTGCCAAATTTAAAAACCCTTGAGGATGACTGATGATGATGAACCGGATTTCAAACAAGCAAAAGAGTGTCATATTTGTGAAGAAAAATACGGTGAAAAAGATATTCGTGTAATCAGTTTGTACGAGCCCAAAGTACACAACAGGGACCGTTGCCATATCACAGGTAAGTACAGGGGATCAGCTCATCAAGACTTCAATTTGAAACTGCGGATCAATCCCTAAGAGATGAAAACACCAGTCATATTCCATAATTTGAGAGGATATGATTCTCATTTTATAATGCAAGAGATTGGGGATACTGGATAGAGCAATAATATTGATATAAATTGCATCCCAAATAACATGGAGAGGTATATGGCTTTTATGTTGGGCAAGCATCTTGTTTTCATGGATAGTTTTCAATTCATGGAAAGCAGTCTGGAGAAACGTGCAGCCAATCTACCAGCGGATGCTTTTAAACATACATTAAGTGCATTTCAAAATGAGAAATTACAGCTGATGAAAAAGAAAGGTGATTATCCATATGATTTTATGGATAGTGTAAAGAAGTTTGATGATCAACAGCTGCCATCCAAAGATGGTATCTACAGTCAGCGCAACAGTGAGTATATTTCTGATGAGCAGTATCGACACGCGCAAAAAATATGGAGCAAGTTTGAGTTGAAAAAATATGGGGCAGTGTCATGATCTCTATCTTGAGAGTGACATCTTACTGCTTTCTGATGTGTCCGAGAATTTCAGGAATACATGTTTGCAGTACTATAAATTAGATCCATGCCACTAATTTACTAGCCCTGGATTGAGTTGGGACGCTATGTTGAAAATGACTGACATACAACTTGAGCTCATGACAGATGTAAATCAATTTCAGTTCTTATAAAAAGGCATGCGTAGGGGAATATCTTAAATTTCTCACAGATATGGAGAAGCAAATAACAAGTATATGGCTAAATATGATGAAACCAAACCATCGAAGTATATAATGTACCTAGACGCCAATAATCTATATGGTTGCGCTATGAGCCAGTATTTGCCAATTGGTGGATTTAAATGGATGCCTGAAAAACCAATAGATAAATTGGTGAAGAAAGTTTATATCAACCCAGATGCTTATAAAGGGTATATATTTGAAGTGGATCTAGAATATCCAGCTGAGTTGCATGAATTGCATAATGATTACCCAGTGGCAGCAGCAAAATGAGAGTAAACAAAGAGATGCTTCCACCATACTGCAAACAATTGCAAGAAGAATATGGAATACACATTGGTCAAGTGGCTAAATTAATCCCAACTCTGGCAGATAAAAAGAATTATGTATCGCATTTGAGAAAATTCCAGCTGTATTTGAGGCTGGGTTTGAAGCTCAAAAAAGTGCATCACAGTGGCCGCGCGGGACAAAATTTTGCTGCGGAATCCATCGGGGAATCACATTGACAATTTTATCTGCACAAGTGGAGGACTAGGACCGTTATTGTCGCCCCTTATTGTCCTCTTTTGTTTTCTCTTCCCGGGAGGTGTTAGGATTCTTGTCAAAAGCACAAGGAAGGATCGAATATCTTGGAAGTTCTTCTTTCGTTTGACACCAAACTCGCCCTGTTTCCGTCAACTAAAGAGATTCACCGCCCAAAAGACAGCACATCAGCATTCAACAGTTAGAAATAACATGGATCTTTCCTTTATTGTGGACGATTTTTGGCTTCAAAAGGTTATTTAGCTCCGTGGTTGATGGCATATTTTGAGGTTCGTTTTCAAAGGATATTTATCTGGCGGCAATCCTACGTTTTTATTTTTCTGATTCTACAAGTTTCGTGCGAAATATATTTGATTGAAGGTGCCCTTATATCATGTCTTCCTGTACAAAGATGCCACAAATTAGGAAGTTATACGAACGCTTCAATGTAGGGGCGATGATGAAAGCCCGCAGACAAGCGAAAGAGGAGGCTGCTATCGGTCATAAATCAGTTCAGCAGTTGAGAAAACGTGTAGATGCAGTCGCTGCCAAAAAAAGGAGACTTGACTACAGGGTAAGTTATTCTGTATATTGCCGTCTCAGACTATGAGAAAATTTAAGTATTTTTTGGCTAATTTAACTTAACTTTTCATAGAGAACTTATCAGTAGAATATGTGAGCCTTGCAGTTTGTACCCAGGCTTTTGAGTTATTTTTAAGCTTATATTTATAAACTGGTTCTTCACAATTTTACTGGATTCAGATTCCTGAAATCTACTTAATTTGATATTTATAAGTTAATTCTATGCTTACTACAGTGTATCTTTCTG